ATTTTAAAAAAATGTCATCAAGGTTCTGCCAAGGTGTAAAGGGAATTTCAATTTACAAAGTACAAAAGTACCTCACTCTCCGAATTGCCTGTGCAAAAAAAAGTCGCTTATTTGCCATTTGTTATGTTTTTCTACATCATTGGAAGGTGTGTGACTGACCCCAATGCCTGTCAGCTGGGGTAACAGTGTGACACGAGGGTAAACTAAAATCTTTTAATAAATTACTGAAACCTTTGTCGGCCATTATACAGTCAAAAGGCTGTTCAATGTCGATGAACCCGGAAGTCAGGGTAATGTGCTTGTCACTGGTCCTCCCAACCACCAACACTCTTTAATGAAATTAAACATACCTGATTGGATAATGCTAACTAAAAGTTTTGCCAGGAAGTGGTGTTTATAATCACTCCAACTGATTCTGTTGTACTAAGTTTTGAGGTTTTCTTTGAGTATTTCTGAACAGTCGATTATGTGCCTAACCTAAGAGAATTTAGCCAAGTGATCTTTTATTTATAAACATCAATATGGAACTGATTTTTGCTTTTACCTACATGTAACTAGTTGCTTAGTTGAGCGATGTTGCATATTGGCCTCTTGTTGATTTTTTTACTATTTAGAGAAGAACAGTGATAGGATGGACCCTTCAAATATCGGACATTTTAGAGAGGCCGAATAGCGTTTTTAACTACATTGAAGACAGACTTTGTAGGGATCCGTGTAAAACTTGACTATCACGGCTCAATAAATTTAACATGCCAGTTTTTTTTTGGGGGGGGGGGGTTGTGGGGTTGTCTGGAATTGACTTGTTTTTGTACATGTATGCATTTAAATTCAGATTTCAGACGTTTAAGTTGATCTTTCAATTTTCTTATCTTTTGTTCTTTGTAAACGAATGTTCCACAGTACTCTAAATGTGTCATGGTCAATCAAATGATTAGCAATGTATGCCACATCCGATTTTATCACAACTATTTAGGGTTATTACTTTTTTGCATGACGGTGTGTTTGAGCATGCAATGCCAACTTATATTTTCTTTTAAAATATATGTCTTGGTCATTTCTCTACAGAGAAGTAAAAATGATTGTTTTCATTTTGCGCGGCGATTTTCCGTGGTTTTTACCGAGTTACTGTTGTCTGTTTGAACTTTTAGAGCGTCCGTAGCATTAACTTAATGTTTCAAATGACTTGATCCTTTATTCCTTCATAGCGATTGCATAACTGATGGTATTTTTTATCAATGAAGGGTATCAATAACCTTCTGTTAACTGAAATTTCGAAGAAGGCATTCGGAAGCACCCTAAGAGAATATGATAAACACTTTTTCAACTCTCTTTGTTCTTGGATCGATAGATAGGGGCGCATATTGTTTTTCACGTGTCTTCTGTCTGTTTGTCAACTTTAACTTTCGTAACTTTTGAACCATGAAAGATAGAGACTTCTTATGTGGTATGCATACTTTACTTAATAAGCTCTTTCAAAGGAAACCAAAGTCATTGACCTTGTGACAATGACCTATATGCTAAAAATAGCTTTTTTGAACCCTGAAAAATAGAGATTTCATATTAAATATGCAATCAATATACATTTTAATTGAGCTCTTTCACATGACATCACAGTCAATGACCTTGTCTGTGCCCTAAATGCTAAAAATAGCGTTTTTGAACCATTGCAATAACTTCATAATTAGTATGCATACTCCGCAAATTTTTAAATTTTTTTCAAATGACATCAAGGTTAAATACCTTGACTAACCATATGCCAAAATATAGCTTTCTCAATTTTGTGGCCGCCGGCCACAAACACTTCTTGTTCGAATGGGTGATTTATTCCTTTAATTTATCGGCCATTCTCATAGGGAACTTTCCATGGCCCAAATTTTTTTAACAGTTTCAAACCTAAATCTTAAGATTTAATGTCTCTGTCTAAAAATTTCAGAATTTACTTCGGGAATGAGTACAATGTGTAGATGTGCATATTCCCAGGAAGTTCAGATTCCTTTATTTTTTCCGGGAATTTCCGCACTTTTTAACTTAGATTTTTGGGAATATATTAAAAAAAATGAACAGTTTGTCAGCGCAACTCCTCATTAACCACTGCACATAATTTCGTCAAACTTTATAGATATTTAGATAATGTGTAGATATGCATTTTACGAGAAAATCCTGATTCCTTAATTTTTCTAGAAATTTCCACCTTTTGCAATTTAGATTTTTAGGGATATATTAAATATTTATCAAAAATTTGTCAGCGCAACTCCTCATAAACCGCTGCACAGAAATTTTTTGCTGATAATTAGGGAAAAGTGTGTAGATGTGCATATTACCAGGATATTTTGATACCTTTATTTTATCTGGGGAAATTTTCCCCACTATTCATCTTTGATATCTAGTCATACCTTGAATATAGAGATGAACAATTTATCAGCGCAACTCCTCATAAACCGCTGCACAATTTTTGTCAGACTTTGCACCTATTTAGGACACAATGTGTAGATGTGCATATTGCCGGGGCATTCCGATTCCTTTATTATTATCCCCCCTTCGAAGAAGGGAGGGCATTTGCTTTGCTGCTGTTTGTCGGTCTTGTCGGTCCACTTGTTTCCGTTCATTTTCTTCACAACCATTGCAAATACTGAAAAGAAATTTGGTATACAGATATATCAGATAAATATCTAGATCAAGTTCTGTTTTGGGACGATGCACCATTTTTGAGAGAGTTGTCCCCCTTTATTTAAAAAATTCCAATTTTTGCAGTTTCCGTTCATTTTTTTCCCAACTGTTGCACATACAGAAATGAAATTTGGTATACAGATGAAGATCTAAGTCAAGTCCTGTTTTGAATACGATCGCACCATTTTTGAGAGAGTTTTGCCCCTTAGTTTTGGGAAAAAATTAATTATTTGCAGTTTGTTCATTTTCTTAAAACCGCTGCACATGCTGAAATGAAATTTATTGTACAGATTTATCTGATGAATGTCAGGTCAAGTTCTCTTTTAGGAACAAGAGCCGTTTTTGCTCTTTTGGACATGGAAAAATTCCAGATTGGGGGAGGGATAAGTGTTTTACAAACATCTCTTTTTTTCCCCAGGATTTTAGCACTTTCATTTTGGGGGGAGTGTTGGGTATGTAGCTTGCTCCCCTTTTTTTTTCATTGTATCATGTTTGAAAGTCTTTAAAAAGAAAACCCGTAACAAGTCTAATACTGTTCATTTCTGACTTGTTTGTTTCCACATTATGTGTCCTTAGTGTATAACAAGCCTCAAAACATTCATGAGCTTCGCTTTAGTTAACTCCATTGACTTAGTCTGAAAAAAATAAAAATATTGGCACGGATTTTTGTACATGTGTGTATGCGTTGTATGTATTAATTTCAAATGGTTTTTTCCAAACCTACATTAAAGTGTTCGGATTACCGTGGCCCAACTGTATTAATATATTTTTGAGAATCAATGTTGTTAATAAGTTAAGTGATATCTACATGTAACACCAATTAAAAAAAATTTTACGTAGAGAAAACCTGATTATATCTTCATGTGTATGACCACCATTAAAAACAAAATTTTGATCTTTCTAAAAAGGCCAATCTAAACCAGATAACACAGAAAACCTGATAAATATCTGCAAAAATAGTATAAAAAACGATTGGTATTTTGGTGGAAGATTTTTTGTGTAATTTGATGGTCTTTTTATTTTATAATATATATGTCTTTTTTTTATCCACTTCTGATCGCCAATGATCTTTTCCCTTTTTTTATTCTCCCTTACATGGTTATCCATTTGATTGTAAAGGGTGTCAGGTAGAGAATCTTTTATGGAATAGAGCACACTCAGAATAATAGAATTGTAAGGTTTATAGAATGATTGCAAATGATTATAAGAATAGAAAACTTGATACACAGATTATACATTTTTTAATTATAAGGCAGGCTTGTTTGGAGATGTAACTTACCTGTATTAGAATAGATAAAAAAAATTCCATAACTTCCTATCCCATGAACAAGAACGCCTATTAGATGTACACTTAACTTCCACATCGTATAATCATGGACAATGGGTTAGGGAAGTCTTGCTCTGATCCACCCCGTCGATGATGAGGGAAAAAAATATTTGTTTGGAAACATCTTGACCTTCTGATTTTTATAATATTCCTGTCTCTCTACTAAAATATTAGTAACAAGGGAAAGATTTTTGTATATGAAATTTTTTGAAAGCGTGAACAACTCTTAACTTACTTCTGCTTTTTAAGACGAATGTCTCTTTTCTTCTGATTAAAGAAAATACTTCTTTATAAAAGAAAGATATTTGCAAATACATTTTACGTCTTTTATTCACAAAACCAAATTCGTGAAGAAATATTAAACCTTTGGTATGGCAATATGAGAAGCTTCACTTCTCCACAAACTGAGGAAATGGCTCAATGAGACTGGTGACATCAAATCTCCCTGTGACTCCTCATCCATCAGATCATATACGTGGAGTTTTGTGGAGCAGGGAGGCAAATGGATGTGGTGGCTGTTTGGACTCTTTTCTCCATAGTTTTGGGCATAAAGCTTCAACCAACCAATGGCTTTCATGGACTTTGTCTGGCACCCCTTCCTTTTGAAATTTGTATCGCTTTTCTGATTTTCTGCTATAGCATAAATTTAATTTCTTTTGTCAAATTTCCACAGTTACATGTGCCTCATTCTACAAAGCCAATAAGAAAACGGATTTTACTATTACTCACTAAAGAACAAACCCCGCACTTCATTAAAAGTGGTTTGGGGTACCCCCAAAAACAGTTTAAAATCTGCAAAGCACTCGCTCGATGTCCCCATTTTAATAAAAAACTCCAGGAATAATGTATAAATCATTTAAGAAACATGCCAAAAATGATACATTACCCTTGAGATTAACAATAGTTAATAGTATTAAATAAGTATTAAAATTACACATTTCATTCTTACTAGAATGACTCCATAGATAATCCAGCAGCCATTGGCGTCTTTCCAGGCTACTCATTGCCTGTAAATTCCCCCAATATTAAGTCCTCTCCCATCAAACCAGTTAAGCAATGTAAGTAGCAAACATTACTCCCAAAACCAGAGACATTGAAAAAATTTTTAAATTTTTCTTTTATTTAGAAGGGGAACTCGCACATTTTCTTAATTCAGCATGGAAACATTGTATATACACAATTTTGAAGCAACAAAATTCATTCAGAAATATCAATTAAACATTGACAAAACAATATATTAAGAAAGTTTATGACTGGTCCAGCGGCTCCAGAGAAAAAGCTGAAAATGTAAATTTACAGAGGGACTGAGGACATGTGGACAATAGTTATAAAGAAAATCTCGTTTAAAGTTTTCAGCTCAGGTAGTAAAAAAAGTAATTCGGCTATGCGGACCTTCTTGAAAACAGCTTGAAATCATAATTGTTGTAGATTTTAATCAATTTTGCTTTAATGGGGGAAAATTGCGCTACATTACAAAATGTGGTAACGTTGCAAAATGTAATTGGTTTTAAAAGTCAATTTGGCCACTGTTTTTTTTTTTAATTCTTTATTTAGGAAAAATTCATTATAGTTCATTACCATTTGCATGTTAAGGGCTGACTTTCCCCTCACTTTTCCCCTTCACTTTCTTCACGCCGAAAACTTGATAACGATTTATTAAGCAATTTGTGACACCGGGAAAATCCGGGATCTTCGAATTTTTAAAGCTTGTTTTCTGTACTATAGACTTTTAACTTCTGTTTGCTTTTGTGATATTTTAATTATTAGGTAAAGGGAAATTTTTAGCAAGAAGAATGAACATCTCTAGATTTTATTTTACGACAAAATGCGTTATATTACTTCAATGCTATTTGCCATTTTGCTTTAGAAAGTTGGGAAAACAGATTACCTATGTTTTCGATACATTTTGTCAAAGTGTCCAAGTTTTCATATTTTTTCAATGTGTCAAAGTTTTCGATAAAGTTTTAAAAAAGTATCAATGTTTTCGAAAAAAGACGTCGTAGTTCTTCACTGTGTAGGGATATGGGAGGTGTTTACATGGGCCGGTTTTTTTAGCTATTCGATGGATTTAAAAGTATTTAAACTGTACAAACATTTGTAAGTTTTTGCAGTGGTACTAGTGAATATGTATTGGTATGTATTTTCGCGAGTTACTAGTATTTCTTGATGAAATCGCTAGTAGGCAAATTTGCTCGGACATTCAAGACTTGAATGGGGCGCATGGGTAGGTCCCCGTGCGACTACAGAAAGTAGAACAATTTTCAACAAGCATTTAAAGGTAGACACATACACCCCCAGTACAAAATAAAGAATCAAGTTAAAAATTATAACAGTACATAAATTAAACACATTTCATTACAAGAAAAGACCCAGTTCAAAATGATTTATTCTTCTACATTATATAGAAAGGGGTTTAAAATTTCAACAAGAAAACTGCTTCTACATCCAAATATGGTTACATTAAAAACCGACATTTTGTTTAATTTTGAAGCTTATAATTATTTCATTTATATAAAATAATACCCTGATTCAAGTAAAATTTTATTCCATGAGCTGCACACATATTTCTATCCCTCAGCGGGGGTTTTTGCTGACTGGTCAGTGTTTTGTTATTAATAGTACCTACAATGAGGGTGGTAAATTTTGGAGTTGTTAATTGGTTTTAGTTGACTTATCATTGAAATTGCTTAAAGTGTGACGGGGTCGTAAAACATCTCAGTGGGAATGCTGAAGTGTCGATTGGTTAGTAGCATACGTCTCAGTGATACAAAATTCAAAAGGCCCCACCCTAACACCATAACCCCTACCCTGGGGCCATAATTTAAATTTTGGAAGAGGCACTCTTGCTCATCATACCTATGTGCTTAATTTTTTGAATACCAAAAGCAGTGAAGATTTTCTAAGAAATAATGCATTTTCACTATAAAAACTATATTATGCCCCAATTCTAGAATCCCCGACCCTGGGGCCTTAAAATTCACAATTTTGGAAGAGGTTCTTGCTCATCATAACTATATTTAGTTAGCTTATTTGATACAAAGGAGTAGATAAGAAGATTTTTAAAGGATTTTTCATTTTCATTATATTATCAAAGGGCCCCAACCTAATCCAAACCCCCGACCCTGGGGCCATTTAATTCACAATTTTGGCTTAGTTTATTTAATACCCAGGAGCACAGGAGAAGATTTTAAACATTTTATTCATTTTTACTATACAATCAATGAGCCCCGCCCAAACCAGAGCCCCTACCCTGGGGGGCCCTAAAATTGTCAATTGTGGATTTAGGAAGTTTGTACTGTTGAATTAATAATCTAGTGTTGAATGCCTTGCTGACTGATAACCTCATCATGTTGTTCAAAGATGTCTTCGCTTTGGTACAGTGATAATGGTTGATCACACACGCACACTCACAGAAAGGTTATGGAGTAACATATTTATGTAATTCAACTGTAACATATGTGTTATAGTTTTGGTGTGCTTTTGGCTTACTTTTCTCTGTGTCTTTGCTTGTCACTTCTGGTTCAGTTGTACTTGTTAATGACCATTTGTTTACTTCTAATTAAGTAATAAACAGTATATAAACACTTAATAAATATTCTGACTTGGAAATTTCACACAGTTTGATCAACTAATAAACAATTAATCCCCACATTGTGTTGATTAACTGACATCAATCACATGAAATGGTTCTGAAAAAAAAAGTAAGAATCTCAACACAACACAACACAACATCACTGTGTTAATCCATAATATAATATTTTCAAAACGGGTGCATGTGGCATTCAACATTTATAAAATACATATTTTCGCACTAGAATCTGAACTACCACGGAGTAGGTAGTAGGGATTTGAATTTTTAAATTAACATTTCATTTTTTTTTGTAAAATTTCAGAGGGTTTTCATACAATTAACCTATTCTGAACTGATCCCAAAAGGTCACCAGGTAGTTCTGGATCACGAACCCTGTGATATTGTCTCACGAAAGGTCCGAGACCAGTAAAGTTAAAATATGTTCAATGTTTTATCAAAAAATTCTGTTGAAAAATACTTGCTACAATGCGCCCTAAAAAGAGTATTCGTACGTCTTTTGCATCACCCATAATTTTGACTTTGTTAATGTTATATGCTGTAACGTACACGACCCTGACTTCAGAGGATCTGACTGTTAAATTTCCCGCATTAGGGCAAAATACATCTTCTCACAGGCTTTCAAATTGTAATGTTAAATGCCAGATTAATCCTATTAATTGTACATCTTTAGCCATCTTGACCAGCGTGGGTGCGCGAATAAAAAAATGCGTGTTCACAATTTTACCCCCCGCAATGTTTGACCAATGAAATTATGGTTACATCATCAAGCATGTGATTTGATAATTTTTTAGGCGATATCACACGAAATGATTTTCAACTTCTAACTGTATCAGCATAATTAAACAACTATAAAATTTATCAATACATTTAAAAAATCTCTGTCGAGACTGAAGCTCTACTGGTTTGTACTTATAGCAAATAAGAGAAAGGTTCTTAAGCAGTTGGGAATTGAAACTTTACCACAGCAAAAAAAGAAAAGGCCTAATGATCCTTGGTCAAGTCTCTTTATGTTCTTAGGGTACTCGACTTGCATGCCATATTAAATTATAATAATAAAGTTATCTGTATTTGGAGACGCATTTTGAGAGTATTTATCGAAATAAGACCAAACTGTAGGAGGAGTAGCATTTTGAAAGAATTTCACGGAAATTTTTATTTTTAGTTACCACGGCAACATCTTTCATCAAATTCAAAAACCGATACACAGAATTATGTATCTTAGTGTAGTCTACTTGTGTTCCAAGTAATATTAAAATCAGACCAAAACTGTAGGAGGAGTAGCATTTTGAAAGAATTTCAAAGAAATTTCTATTTTTCGTTACCATGGCAACATCTTTCATCAATATACAGAATTATGTATCTTAGTGTAGTCTACTTGTGTGCCAAGTTATATTGAAATCAGACCAAAACTGTAGGAGGAGTAGCATTTTGAAAGAATTTCACAGAAATTTCTATTTTTAGTAACAACAACACCGCTCATCGAAATCAAAAACCGATACACAGAATTGTATCTTAGTGTAGTCTATTTGTGTTTCAAGTAATATTGAAATCATACCAAAACTGTAGGAGGAGTAGCATTTTGAAAGAATTTCAAAGAAATTTCTATTTTTAGTCACCACGGCAACACTGTCCATCAAAATCAAAAACCAATTCTCAGAATTATGTATCTTAGTGTATTCTACGTGTGTGCCAAGTTATATTGAAATCAGACCAAAACTGTAGGAGGAGTTGCATTTTGAAACAATTTCACAGAAATTTCTATTTTTAGTAACAACACAGCTCAACGAAATCAACAACCGATACACAGAATTATGTATCTTAGTGTAGTCTACTTGAGTGCCAAGTTATATTGAAATCGCACCAAAACTGTAGGAGGAGTAGCATTTTGAAAGTATTTCACAGTATTTTCTATTTTTAGTAACAACGACAACACTGCTCATCAAAAACCGATATACAGAATTATGTATCTTAGTGTAGCCTACTTGTGTGCCAAGTTATATTGAAATCAGACCAAAACTGTAGGAGGAGTAGCATTTTGAAAAATTGTTTACAGACAGACAGACGGACGGACGCATTACTATCGCATAAGCTCTTCTGGTCTCTGACCAGTAGAGCTAATTAGTAGCTAGAAAAGCTAGTTAAATCCCTTGTAACTGGTTATAAAGAAAGCACTGATCGCGATGAACTTGTAAACATGACGACATTGTGGTAAAAATGACGTATTTCATGTGTTGCTGAAGTAGATATGGACGGCGCGAATGATACAGTAGGTGTGGATGCTGAAGCTGGTACGGTAGATAACGGCACGGTGGAAATGTGAACACGACAGTCTCAAGTGGAGACGATGAAGTGGCAGACTGATAGGTGGCTCAGATGATGGTGGCATCACAGCTGGCAGAGTGCCTGGGTCCCGCAGGGAGGCAACAA